CCCAAAAAAAAAAAAAAAAAAAAAAATATCACTGAATTAGAGCAAATGGCTGCTATACTAGAACAGAGAAGGTTTTCTGAAAGTAATTGGAGTTTGACAGAGTTTTCCAAGACTAGAAAGTGAGCGGCCTTTTGTGACGTGAGAGTGACATCCAGGCCTTACTCCTTTTGAGCACCTTTCACTTCGCAGCAATACCAGTGTGCTCAGTGAGGACCCGGTAAAGTTTGCTAAGAACAAAGAGATCCTAGAAACTGTTCGCATTAAAAATCAGTGTCTTGTCCAACTGCTGGGACATGAACTAGCAATAGTCTGAAAATGTTATATAGTTTCAAGGCAGATACTTTGTCAGTCTTTTTTGTGAATCCGTGTTTTGTTCACTGAGAAAAAGAAGTGACTAAACTTTGTCTCATATATTACGTAGAATAATGCGTTGATGGCATATCTCCATTAATTTTAACCGTTTATTGAAGATTTAGTTGATTTATTCTACATGGTATTTTGGGAAATAGGAAGACCCAGCTTAGCTCATTTTTTTTTTATTTACTCTGAAACCAAACTAATAAGCTATTGAGAATCTGTCCAAAGGTAGGCTTGCACAATATCAGAAAATATGTTGCTGTAAATGACATGGACATGACTATTGTTATCCTTCCTGGTGCCCTGTATCTCACACTTCATCACTAGAATGCTCCTTTTATTGTTTTCCCTAAATCTGTTCGGTTAGGAGTGCCCCAATAACCCATTGTTGAACGTAACCGTAAGTCAAAGAGATAATGTTTGGTGTGTTTTTTTAATAATAAAATTGATTCAACCATAAGAATAAATCCCAGTTGAAGACAAACATGTCTGATGTTGACGGAAGTCTTATCCCCATTGCACTCACTGTAAATGATGATCAGAAATGGCTTTTCCGTCGGGGGGAGCTCATTGCAAAATGTTTGCTGCCAAGATTAGTTAGACTGATGGGATCTGGGTTTTGAAGGCATCTGTCACAAGGTATGTTTTGTTTTGTTTTTATAAGCAGCTAAAGATAGAAAATAAAACAGGGCAATAGTTCTGTAATGTATGCTATTGTAGCTCAGAACATCCTCTTGCCTGCTAGACAAATATAGTGAGATTTGTAAGCTTTAGTTTTTATGTGGTTGTATTCAGGGAACATGATTTGTGCTGATAAGCACAATTACAAATTGGTTACACTGTACAAAGAACAAACTAACAGAGCTGATTTTTGCCTTTTATGTGGTTATTTCCCTTCTGATTTGAACTTTAAGAATTATTTTTAAATATTCTGACTGTAGCATGAACAATACTATTCATCAACTCAGAATTCGGATTTTATTTAGATCACTCTCACTTTTGTTGAGTTCTCTCAGTTTTGTGTGCTGAGTCTATCTTGTAAGCCACACTGAACTCACAGGGCACAGAAGTGTGGTTATTATTAGTAGATTTCTTAAAAAGGAAGGATGTACTGCATTTCTTTCTTTTTCTTGATTTTAAAACCATCCTTCTGTAGTGAAATTAATGCCCTGAGTAAAACGACGGTACGTACAGAAGTATCAGCAAACACACAGAGCTTATTGTGCTTTTGCCCTTCCCAGTGTTTACAGTGTAACAGCACCTTGCCTCCCCTTGTCCCTGCTTTCAGGAAGTAGGAAAGCATTTGTTTTTCTCTTTGCTTCCTCGTCGCCTTCCTTGTTTCTCTAGCCCTTCCCTGGCCTTCCCTTCGTCTTCATCCACTTGGGCTTTAACATCTTCTTGAGTTTCAAACTAGTGCACAAAATATTTCATGCTTTAAGAAAAGTGAATTTTATTCCTAGCCTTTAAGTTACCTTTAACGTGTCCACTTAGAAAACTGTGCTATTGTGAAAGATCTAGAAATAGAGCTGAAAGCATCCAGTCCTAGTTTTTCCTTTTACCAGTGAACTAAGAAATTGCACTCCTGCATGCTGGCTGTCAATTAGCATTATCTCCATTTGTTTTAGATCCAGACAGGCGTTCAGTTTCCACCATGAATCTTTCGAAACATGTTGATCCTGTCATTAGCAAGCGGCTCTCCTCCTCATCTGCAACTTTGCTAAATTCTCCAGATAGAGGTACAGTCAAAAGGAAAACAAAACAGTGTTCTGTTATTTACTTAATGCTTTTTTTTTTCTGGATGTCTGCAGATGAAAATAAGCATCTGAAGTTGCTTTCCCTACGTTTCTTAAATAGGAAGAAAAAAACTTCCGAGTAAAAAAGCAATAAACGGCTGAACAGCATTTTCCTTGCAACAAGAACATTTCTCATTTTAGAACGTGACTGAATGATTGCATTTAGCAGTGATGAAAGCGGTGCTTCTCTCAACTTTTTATTAAATGAGTTTACAACTCCAGAAATCACCCACTTATCCACCAAAGTGCAAAATTATTTATTGTAAACATTTCTTTTACTTCAATCATACTGTCTATGCCTTTTCATCTGTACCTTGAGAATTCCAGGCTCTGACTTTCTAAAGAAAACCTTGAATGATTCATGTTAGTAGATTTCATTCTGTCAATTTATTTCTCATTTAACTGAGCATTTCTTACTACATTTCATGTGTATGATTGATTTTTTGCTGTCCATTCATTTACTCTTGAGGGATTTGACCTACCTTTAAAAATATCCTTGCACCCTCCTGAAAAGTTTAATAATCACAGTCCTCCAGTTGACAGTTTGAGTTTTGAGTTTTATTCATCCCATGGATTTACAGTACTTGAATGTTAAGTTATTTATATGGTGAAGTTTTATTTTACAAATAAAAGGAACATTGAGCTTTTGAGATAATCTACTTGTCTAAGATGATTTTTAATAAAACCAAAGAATTACTTTGCAGTATAAAAGCACATGCTCCTTAAAAGTAACAAATTGTGGTGACTTTATTAAGAAACTGGGAAAGTTTCAGTGTTTATAATCTTTAAAATGTATGTAATGTGTGCATGTTGTGTATGTGTATTTGTATATTTTATATTGTATAAAAGTATTATGGTGCCATTGTAATGTGCACTATTATGTGTGTTAATGACATTTTATAACCAATCTCATAAAGCAGTAACTGTCTGAATAACTTCCTACTCTTGCCTTTTAACCCAAAATAATTCCTTTTCTTGAAGTTTAATTGCCTAAATTCCTGATTACAGAAATGTAGTCGTTAGGGACCTTTCATGTTAAAGTGTTGCTAATTAAAATTTCTTTCATAAATATGCTTTAGTTTGAAACCTAATCCTTTCATGTAACATAAAATATAGCTTATGAATGCTGATCTTACAGTTGTCTGTTCGCCTTATCTTTGGGCCACTTACTCACCACTTTAATTTTGTACTCACATGCACCTGGGTCTGAGACAAACCACAATTAGGATTTTGTAGTACCGTTGATTTAAACCTTCCTTAGTGTCTGTCTCCTTCAGGCCCAGTGCTGCAATCAGGGTGAGGATGGGAGGTGCCAGCGATGAACTGGACAATGTCCTACCCACGTCTGTGTGGAATGACAATGTTGAACTGTATATATCAATGTCTGAATGTAATATGATCTTAGAGCTGGGACAGATAGGTTGGATGGCTCATCTACTTCACCTGGGGAAATAGAAACTTCAGAGGTTAAGGCCGGACTTAATGTCCCACAAACAAATGACTGCAGACGAGGAATTAGAACCCAGACTAACAGCTGCAACCATCCTACATGTCCCTCCGTAGGTGGACGCTGTACACTTTTTGCATTAGTTAAACATAGAGGTAGGACACTGGGGACAAGGGAAGTTCTATGACTAGTTTATGGTGGGGGCCAAAAACTGCCCCTTAAACTCAGTGCAGGTCTAGAAAGCAGAATATTGAGCTGGACTAATAAGACGAGGGAAAGCATTGAATTTGAGAAGTGGCCTCCCATATTGTGTAGATTTTTTTTGTTTGACTTAGGCAGAACTTTCAGTTGGACAGTGAGAGGCTTAGGCTTTTTAATAAGAATATAAATTCTTCTAAATTTGAATTTCTCTAATTTGGAAATATAACTCTTTCCTGCTATTTTTAAAAATTAGTCGTACCTTATTATCCCATTAGAAAGCATTCTTACAGAATTTTTAAATTAGATTCCTTTACAGACTGAAACGGGCAGAGGATATGGGCATCATTACTGGATTGTTAGAGCTTTTCTCAGTCCTATGGCAACAGCCTTAAAGCTAATGTTTAACTGAGGCTCAGCTGGAATGTGTCTGGTCAGCCCCTCTGCTTATTAAATACTGAAATATGATCATATCACTTGGCAGAAGCAACTTCCCCTACATGTGCTTTCACGGATCCTCAAAACTAATGGAAGCCAGTCACTGGCCTGTGCCGGTGCCCTACCGGCTTTTAAATATTTTGATTATTATCAACTGAGTATAGTGTTACCTAGACTGAAGGAAACCTCCAATTATTAAAGATTTCTGTAATTGCCACAACAAAGAAAATATTGCCATTGGAAATTTTTGCATTAAAAGGGCATGTCATTATCTTTAAACTACCCACCCACTTAACCAACTTTTTCAAAAAAGAACCAATAGTTTGAAAAAAATAAAAATAAAATTGCCTACTCATTCCTTAAAATTAATCAATTTGTTTTCCCCAGAATCTTCATCAGAGAACACAGAGATGGCTCAAAAGCTAAATTCTGCCTAGAGCCTTTTTCTAATTAATCTGAACAATGCTTTTTGTTCTTATTTTGATTAACTGCTAACATTTAAAATATGGAAGATTTCATAGATAGTAACATTGAGATTTCTTCTAATGAAAAAAAAAAGAATCTCCCAACATTTGCCTAATTTCTGCTGAACAGTGATTTCATACTTACACAAGGAATATGTAAGACACCATAAAGTTTGCTAAGCCAACTTCACTTATTTATGTTAACCCACATGGCCCCTACTGACCTTTGAATTTGCTCCCCCTAATCTTAGTGGTCTATTTTAGCAATTTTCAGCATCTTTTTTCTTTCTTTCTTTCTTCCTTTTTTTTTTTTTGTACTGGGGATCGAACTTGCGACCTTGCGCTTGTGAGGCGGCACCACTGAGCTAAACTCTGGCCCAGCATCTCATTTTAAGGGGGCCAATACCATAGAATTCCATGAGCCTTAGTATCTCCTCAGTCAACTTTTTAATCTCAAGATCAGGACCCTCTAGGTGAAAAGAACAATGAACTAACTCTCTTTTGCTAACATTTACTAAAACATTACCTTATACAAGATATCTCTGTTCTCAATTAGGGCATTAGTTACTAACAGAGTGGAAGTAGAGATGTGTCTCAGCAAACACATTCACAGTGTAGGGATTTACTTGACATGTATTAAAGTAGGTTTGTAATGATCTTCATTTGAGGCAAAGTCTGCAGTTGATGCCCTAAAGATCCACAGGAATATAGTAATGAAACTTCTTAGTGGAGCAAAGAAAAATCTGTTCGATTGAAAGCTCTGCCGTACAAGCTGCAATCATCCTACAGCGTTTCTGAAAAAAGGAAACACTCATCTTCTTCTCTTTCTTATCTGTTAAACATGTGATTCTGTTGACAGTTTTCAATTACTCCTACTTACTTTTTCCCCGCTGGTTTTATTCTGATTTGAGATTGGGTTATATTCTCTTGATACGCAAACTCACATGGCCCTGCTGGTTTATGATAGTGCTGTCTACTAACAGTAGCTGTTGGAATAGTTTTTATAGCATATTTCTTTTTCTACTATTATCTTAATGCCAAATAATATTTAACTGCAGTCTCCCAATAAACATAAAAGCTAAGGAATAATTCACTGATTCTTAAATTTACCAGTGTTGATCAAAATACCCACACTTTTAAATATAAAGCTAGATAATTAAGAAATTTAATGGAAGTTGATTCTTCCTTCCAAATAGGAGAGAAAAAGAATTTTCTAAGTAGCAATATTTAGTAGTAGATGGCTTTTACTAACGAAAACTAATTTCCTAGAATTTAAGTATCATTCTTTAAAATGATATGAAAGGAGCAAGAGTTCTTGTACCTGGGGTTTATGGGGCAGGACAGACATGACCTTGTCAAGACTTTTATAAGTGACTTAGAAGCACATTCTAAAGCAGAGAAAGTGACCACTTTAATGGTATCTGCAGGAATGTGCATGCTTTTGTATGAGTATTTCTGGAAAATACTTACTGTGTATTTATATAACATCCCTTGAAGCCAGCAATAATTAGAGTATGTTTCCTAATGCTGACCTTGCTAAGCTCCAGTACAATTTTGGACCATATATCACTGCATTATTTTAAATTTATTGTCTAGATTCTTACACCCCTGCTATTAATCATCAGGATTTTGGCTTTTCTATTTTTTTTTTTCTATTTCATTTTAATCTTGTTTCACCTTTAGCCTTGATTCTCAGGCATGATTTTTATATTATTTTCAAAGGAAGGGAACTTGGCTCACAGAGTGGAATGGTCAAAAGGAATCCCATACGGACCTTTGCATTACTTTTTCATTTTATTATAACTAATCTCCCCCAATTTCCCAAATAATAACTCATGAGGATCTAGCATAGTTTAATGGATACCCAGTGTCTCTTTTATATGAGTCTAGTATTCCGTTAGCTGGCCAACATCTCTGTGGTGTTTGTTAAAGGTACTTAGGAAGCCCATTGGTTGAAGTACCATGAGTCCATGCCCATCCAAATGCCCATCAGTCAGGTACCCCCTGGAGTTACCAGTGCATGCCACATCTGTAGATGAAATGGTATTTTTGTTTCAAGACCTGTCAACTACTAAAGGAGGGTAATTAGCAAAATCCACAACTAAAACACCAGTAGGGCCTGCCACAAGCATAACACCCTGAAGAAAGGCAGTATTTGTGGAATGGCTGCTCCCCTTGGACAGGGTTCCTGATTCCTGACCAGGGCCAGTTGTCCTCTCTGGAGAGCCTGGTGGAGTCCTGGCCTGTGGAGATGACAGGTATGATGTTCTGCGCCCTCTTTTTCCCTGGAAAGAATGCTTCTAACATCTTGCTTATGTGGTGACATTTAGCTCGCCGCCTGCAGCTCAGCCCCTGGGAGAGCAACGTTGTTAACAGACTCCTGACGCCCACGCATTCGTTCCTGGCCAGAAGTAAAAGCACGGCTGCTTTGTCTGGAGACACAGGTAAAGACATCCAGGTGGCATTTTCCTGGTGACGGAAAGCCTTCCTTTTGGAGCATATCTGTGCTGCTGGTACTCATCCACTCCCTGCTGCTTTTCCTGATGTGTGCTTACTTCTGCTCCAGTGGAAATGTCTGTTGGTGTTGGTTTCGTGCTCCTGGCTTTGTTTCCACTTGGCATCCGCCTTAGCGCCTTATCTGAACACCAGACGCCAGGCAGACAGATGAAGCTTCTCACTGTGACCAGGAGGCTTCAGTTGCCTCTGTCTGTTCATGAAGTTACCTCCCCCCGAAAAAAAATCCCTTATCTACCCTTCTTTCTGCCCCTGTATCTCAGCAGATGATCAAAAGGTAGATATAATCTAATAATTGATATCGATAAGTTGAATTGGAAAGAAAAAACACACGCCTATTTTTCAAGCATAGAGTTTCTTAGTGTGGCTATGGCCTAGCTGCCTGTCCTTCTTGTGCCATCTTTTACATGGAATCTAGAAGCAGCACCCTTGCAAAGGCTAATTACAGTGTGCTTATTCCTTTCATTGAAAATGTGTAAACATAGCTAATACCAGATAGTATATTTCTATTACCTGCTTTTTGAAATGTAAAACGTATTAGAATCAGACAAATGGCTTATTGAGTTAATGAGGAGTTCATGTATAGCCTATATCTGGTTGGTAAGAAAAGTCCACATAAGGCTTTTGGTAACATTTCTCTTCTGATAAATAGATTTAGATTTTCCCAAATCTCTTGGGACACAATTGGTGACTCTATATAACCAGGCTAGCAAGTCTCAGCTTTTGTACTTAGAAAATGGCATACAGTCTTTGAAAAGTTCCCTTTGCCTCTGCAAGCCTCTTCACGTTCTTTAGCCTGCTGTGCAAATAGTAATTCTTGGTGGTTTTATGGTCTTTCATCTCCAGTGCCCAGCGAGCTAATGAGTATCAGCACCACTTCTCATAGTGCCCCTGGAGATCAGTCAAGAGAGCAAGTATGGGCATTCCCACCTTGTTGTTATGGAAATCCTGGGTAGTGACAATAAATGACCTAGGTAGAGCCATTTAGGAAATCGTGGAGTGGATCTCCAACGTGCCCCTCTGCCCCCTCCTCAGCACCCTGAGTCATGCTTTGTGTCCAGGTGTGCAGTCAGCTGGCTCAGCCATGACGGTCTCTATTTCTCTAAAAGAATTTCCCTATTAGAACTTGCATGCCGCACCTGAGATTTTTCTAGAGGAAAAGGTGTAGCTTATTTCAAGATAGTTTAGTTTTTATGCCTATGAATTTCACACTTTCATGCAAGTCATGGAAGTTTCTCTTCATGTCAAGGAACCTCTCAGACGGCTTGTCTACCCTGTCTCACAAGATCTCCATATGCATGGCCACCATGCGTCCCAGCCCCACACTGTATGTTATGCTGTGCCGGTGGACACTTCAAAGCTGATGATTGTCTCTCCTTGCTTTTTCTGTCATTACTAACTTTTGTCATTTCTTTCACTCTTCCTCTAGTCTTTCCAACACCATTTCCTCATTTTCCACCCATTTTACTTGCCTGTCTTCCCCTCCCTCCGGTTGTAATGCTCAGTTGAGGTGCTTTCTATCTGCAAGTTGGGTGTTTGCAACTTTTCTGTTCTCCTTTACACAAACTGATATATTAATTTATTTTAATGTGAAACAGGGCATAGCCTTTTCTTGAGTTGCCTGTGTTACTAATACATTCCCTAGATCAGTGTCACCTATTGCATTGATAAAGCTTATGTTTAATGAAGCAGAACTATTGGTTTCTGCAAACATTTCCATTTGAAATTATATATGTAATGTGTCTTTCAGTTGTCTTTTTGAAGACATTTTTCAGTCACTTTTGGTTTATTATGTATTCTCCTTGATTTTTCTTTTTTTGTCTTTCCATTTTAGTTGTGTGTCTTGATTTCATCTTATTCTCAATGCCATTGGCAAAGGGGTGACTTACATCCATAGCTGGGGTTACAGTGGGTTGGGTGTCCCATGATTGCAGACTCCCTGAGCAAGCGATAGAGCCATTGAGAATAGGAAACTCAAGTTTCATACCTCTCATTTGCAGTCACTATTTGGGGTTAATATATGTGAAATGGTTAGAATAGTACCTCACACAGTAGGCCCTCAATAAATATTAGTATTCTAGTATACAAATTTTCTATTCCCCACATGGTAGTCCAACCACTTACTATATTATCTTTGCTCTACATTATTTCATTTAGGACAGTGATGGCAAATGTTTTACAGCCAGCTGCAGTGTGCATGCCATAGGTTCACCACCACTGATTTAGGACATCTTGAATGAGCTCAATAAATGCACACCTACTACCACAATTACTGGAAGTCTTTCTCAAACATGTTTCTATAAGAGAACGCTCATCTGTAACTAAACTATTTGTGTATGAAGGGTGCTCTGGGGAAAAATAACTATATATATTGCTCTTACTGTTACCACAGAAGAGTAAGATTATTTGCACAATTGATTTGAACTTTTCAAGTTTTTCAGTAGTTACTGTTCACAGCAGCGGTGATTTCCATGAAACTTAATACAATTGGAATTTTAAATGTTTGTTTTAGCCAGAAAATATTCCATGGACAATTGAAATTGAGAAAAAAGATTTGTATAGATTAGGTTTAGGATATTTTCAACATTTATTTGATATTTCCTCAGTTATAATAAAGAACAAACCAGAAGGCATAATGAGATTGGCTTACATTCAAAATGGTCTCAGAACATGCTCCATAAATACCTCCTGAAATTGTCGTCTTCCACTGGAAAAGGAATCATAATTCTGTGCTTTGTTCCTTCTTTAGTGTCAAACCTGTGCCTCAGAGCAGGGCTGTTCGCTGGGGGTCTCTTGATCCCTGAACAAGGGTGATGGCCTCTGGCTGTGCCCTGGGTGCTGCGTGCCTTTCTTCCTTGTTGTGCCTCCCCAGAAAGGCCTTGTGCCAGGATGTTTTTTCTTGAAACGTGTGTGATTGACTTGGAAGAATTTTTGCAGTAATGACCTCTTTCCTTGTCTGGGAAATGCAAACACCTTGTTATGGCACTTTTAAAAAAAGGTTGTCTTGAAATAGATTCCACTATGATCACAACAAGCAAATTGACAAGAGGTTCTCTTTCACAATGGAAATCCTTCCTTTACCATTAAAGTCAGAAGTAAAGCTTTATGTCATTTCCCAAGCATGACACACATTTTCTTTGAAATGAGGCAATGCAAAGTGTTTTAGCCTATCCTGAAGAAATAGAATTCTGTTTCAGGATAACGGGAAAAGAAAGTGCAGTATCCCATCTAATTCATTGTCCTAACTATTCATTGATAACCAAAAGATACTGTGAGGCATTGAATAAAATAGAACATGTTAGTAAAGATGTGTTCTAGGGCTGGGGGTATAGCTCAATGGTAGAACATTTGCCTAGCATGTGCAAGGCGCTCGGCTTGATCCCTAGCACTCCCCCTCCCCCAAAAAATGATGCAGTCTTTCATCAACTAACTACAGAATAAACCATAATAATATTTTAAGCCTTATATATAATTCTGAACTCTTGAGTTTTTAATTTATTAATACTATTTATTACATTTTCCTGGCACAATGGTCTCTTTAAAGGGTTCCTACAATTACTAGCGTTAGCCAAACTCATTTTATAAACTGATACAAATGCATAGTATCATCCTTAGTAGTCATATTCACCTTATTTTTGCTGGAAAGCAAGATCCCTGAATGAAATCTGAAAATAGACCTTGGAACCTCAGTATCCACACTTTTTATACCTGTCCAATTACATCAGTTTTTTAAAAATTTGTTGAGGATCAGAATAAATGAATGATAGTGTTCCTTTGAAAGTGAATGGTAAGAAACTATGTGAGTTTCTTCTTTCTTTCTCCCTTTCTTTTCTTCTTTTTTCCTAAACACGGGTTCTCTCTGTGTTGCCCAGGATAGGCATTGCTGCCACACCTGACACTATGTGGATCTTCAAAAAAAAAAAAAAAAAAAAA